GCATAAAATAAATTAAAAATGTTTAAATGTTTCAAATACAAAAAACTGTAAAAGTAAATTTGATAAAGTACAAATGAAAATATAGCCTTTGTAAACTTTTGCATGGTAGAAACAGAAGCTGCTGTTAATATTAGTGACTAACAATAACAGTAGCAACAGCTTTTTGACAAGTTTAAAGTTTCTTTAAAATACATTAAAAATATTTTAAAATAAACTACAAAAAATAATTTGATAAAGTGCAAATTAAAATATAGCTGTATCTGTTATGTATTTGGTAATGTTTTGAACTTTTAAAATACTGCATGATAGAACCAGAAGCTGTGCTTCATTACTGTAATGACAAACTTTCGCCTTTTTTGACGGGTTGCCTTCATTTTTGCTTCTACTTTTCATTTAAAATAATTTTTAATTTTCGGCAGGTAGCTAAGTTTCTTCTTCTTTGTATTAAAAAAAGTTGTTAAACATCTGAGTGGCGCACTACCGCTACTAGTGGTGAGAAAGTGTATTGCATCTTATTCAAAATCAATGCGGTCCCGCGGCCCCTCTGYGGCCCAAAGTTAAAAACTGTTGTTCTTTTGAGGCCCTCAAGGTGGCGCTTGTGGGCCGTGGTCCATAGGTTAAGAATCTCTAGTTTAATCCTTCGGTGTTTGAGCCGTTTCATTGCTTAAACTACCACATTTATCCGCTTACTTCAGAGGATGCACTAGCAGACCTTCCTGACGATGCGACCTTGGAGCTAGTATGGAAAAACAACGAGCGTGTGAAGGAGTACGTGCTGGTGAGCTCGAAGGAACTGGAGTACGAGGAGGACCCCGGCTCGCTGAGTGAGACCGCCAGAGTGGGACATTTTACCCTGGAGCAATGCTTGAATCTCTTCACCAAGCCTGAGGTGCTTGCACCAGAGGAGGCCTGGTAAGAATCAGCTTTATTTTTWATTATTAAATGCTCTGATCGTAATGGTTTTATACTTTTTAATACTGGTTATTTTACTGCAATTAGATCAGCACCATGAAATATTATTAATGAACTTGTCTCCTTATAAGATCAAAGCTCCAGCATCAAACATAAAGTAAAGCAGGTAAAGAAAATTACAACCAGATGAAAATTATCTTCACTTAAAAACTAAAGTTAGAAAAAAACATTTTCTTTGTAGAAATGTTTTTTTAATGTCCTCTTTGTATTTTTTTAATAATCATCTTTCTGTAGTGTAAAAATGTAAAAGCATAATATAATATTTCCAAGTCATTTATTTCTGAAATTATTAGAAGTAAATAAAATTTTTGATTCAGCAATACAAAAGATTTTTTTTTTGTTACTTTTTAAAAACATTACTGGACCTAAATTTTGAGATCAGGGCACTCAGACTTGAATGTTTATTTACAAAAGTTTTCCCAGCACTGGAGGCCCCTGTCTGAGTTAAACAAAATGACCCTGCTTCCTTCTTTCAGCAAAGCTTTCACAGCGAGCCTAGTCCCACACCAGATATGATGTCATACCTTTGTCATACCTTTAACACAAGGAAGTGAGATGCGAAAACACCAAAACTAAAAAAAATAAAATAAAAATTGATTCTCTAACTGTTGAAGTAAATGACTTAAACCAGTGGTTCCCAAACATTTTGTCTTCTGACCCACAAAATATCCATGGCAAAAACTTGTGACCCCAAATATTACTGGTCTGAGTACACGAACTTTGCTAATAACCCTAAAAACACAGGCTTTTGACAATCTAAACAGCTTATACACAAATATAAATACTTATTTATACTTTTTTGTTTTTTTGTAATAGTTATAGGGAAAATATTACATCAGCAATTGTTTTATTACCCTTTAAATTGATTTCTGGAGATTATCCAAGGTGCTTCATGACCCAAAATTGGGTCCCAAGCCCAACTTTGGGAACCAAAGTGCAGTGGTTCCCAAACTTTTCAGCTTTTGACCCACAAAATACTAGCAGAGACCTGTGCCCCCAGCTATTTTTGGATGATAAACATTTGTATCAGGTCAACTAAACATGGGCACAGTAACAATATTTTATACTACATTTATCCATTTTAAATACACTAACCTCACTCCTTTGTAACAAGCCAAAAATGTAATTAATTACGAAAATCTTTTCAGGACCCCACCTTGATGTTTCGGGACCCCATTTTGGGAAACACTGACTTAAACAAAACTTAAGTCAAACTCATTTTAACTGAGAGCCTCGTGAGTGTTATGGTGGCCCAAAGGGCCAGTTGTAATTAACTGTAATGTTTCAGCACAGCTAAGAAACAATAACTGAGCTCTACCTGGTGTTTCCTGCATAGAAACAGTGATTCAACACATCCTCTTATAAACACTGAAGTGTACGACTGACTAAATGTGAATTAAATAAAACAAATACTATTAAAAGTAAGAGTAACAGAGCGAATAGCTGCTATGTTAAACTCTGAACTCTCCCATTTTCCTACAGGGAAGTCCCATGCATAATCAGCGTGCATTATGGGAGATGTAGTTTATGGTCAATGTTGGCTTTAAAGCAGCTTGTTTAATACTGTGCTAGCCAAMAAAATTGCTCACTTAAAGCCAACAGCTGAGGGGCAGGACAATTATTATTATCTTTCACCCTTTTAAATGTTTTTATTTTGTTGAATTTAATCATAAATTTAAAGTTTACCATTGATATAAAAACTATTTCCATATTAAGTTAAAAAAATTAAATAAAATTTGGCGGGCCAGACAGGAGTCACCTGCGCACCACATCAGGCCCGCGGGCCTTGAGTTTGACACACGTGACTTAAACTGATCACAGATAAGATATAAGACCATAAAATTCAATCAGTCACAAAATTTCCTTCAACTTGTTTGTCACTGCACCTCACTGAACCAAGAAACAGCAGGAAATAAAACACTGTTTGCTTTTAGGATGAACACATAGAAGTAATGAATAAAATCTATATCTCAGGATTTCATGTTCGTTTACAGCAAACTGGCACAGTGCCTGCAGTGTGATGTTAGTTTGCATTTAATAAAGCCTAATTAGTTTTGGAGTTTCTGTACTAAATAAATCAGTGAACCTCTGGGGGGGAAAACAAGTCCTGTTTGTATTTTCACCCTGCAGGTTTCCAGATTAAAGCCTTTTACAGAACACTGACACTGATTTGCTTTTATCACACGTATTGGATGATTAGCATGGCTCTGGTTTGACGCTGTCAGATGTTCCTGCCAGTGGAAGACTTGCTGTTTGATTGGGTTGTTCCATCTGCAGGTACTGTCCGAAGTGCCAGCAGCACCGTGAGGCCTCCAAGCAGCTGCTGCTGTGGCGTCTGCCCAACGTCTTGATCATCCAGCTCAAACGCTTCTCCTTCAGAAGCTTCATTTGGAGAGATAAGATCAACGACATGGTTGACTTTCCCGTCAGGTGAGAAGTTCAACTAAGAGTTTTTCACCACCTCAGTTTTCTCCTTTTTAGTTGGATTTTAATTATTAAATCCCATTTATATTCTTGATCTTGACTTGCAGAAATCTAGATCTAAGCAAGTTCTGCATCGGCCAGAAGGACGATATGCAGCACCCCCCCATTTATGACCTGTACGCAGTCATCAACCACTACGGAGGGATGATCGGAGGCCACTACACCGCTTACGCCCGCCTGCCGAGCGACAAGAACAGCCAGCGCAGTGACGTCGGTGAGCTTCCTGTCTGTCTGGTTTGCCTTCATTTCATCAGAAAAGCTTTTGTTCTCACTTCTGTTCCGTCTCGCCTCAAGGCTGGCGTCTGTTCGACGACAGCACCGTGACGATGGTGGAGGAGAGTCAGGTGGTGACGCGCTACGCTTACGTGCTGTTTTACCGGCGGCGAAATTCCCCCGTRGAGAGGCCGCCACGCTTCCTCAGAGCCGAGTCGCCCACAGCTGCAGGAGCCGCTGGCAGCCAGGTGAGGGYGGTAGAGCCAGAAAAGTTCACTTTGATTAACAAATGCCTCTGATGGGGATTTGTCAGCTTCTGTTAGATTGTTAAAAAGAGAAGCTTGTGTGTTTTAGTGAGCTCAGACTTCTTATTTTRATTAATTTTGACGAGGTCGTACTCTGAGGTCCATCATAAAACAGCTCAGTGTGATCGTAGAGAGAGCGAGAGACTTTGCGTTTCCTGCGAAAATGCTAGTGTGAATGCCTGTTGCTGAGAATGTTTAATAGCAAAAGTATTATTGTAAGTCAAACTTGAATAAAAAAAAGAAAAACAGTAAAAAAAGGAGCAAAAATACAGCTGAAATGGCATAAAAAAACCTAAAAGCTAAATGCTAAAATAGCTGAATTAAGCAGAAAGCACCTGTAAGAAGCATGCATAACACAAACTACCAAGAAAAAAAAACACCAAAAAGCAAAAAACAGCATAGGTGTAGTAGAAAATAGAAGAACTACAGATAAAATAGCAGAAAACGGCTAAAATTAGCTTAAAAGCTAACTCAAATTAGAAGCCAGTAGTTGAAAGTGCTGTAAAAACTGTAAAATTAGAGTAAAAAGCATACAMGTACTAAAAAGTGGTAATTTATTGTAAAATAGCTAAAACAGCTGAAGATTTTAGTAAAACAGCTAAAAAGTAGCTGGAAATATTTTAATTAGCATAAGGAGCACAACCTTGCTGAATTTAGCAGAATTAGGTTCTAATTGTTACAAAAAATGTGTATATAGCCTAAAAAGCTAACTTTAGCTAATAACAGCTAAAATTTAGCTAAATTTGTAGAAACTAACTGAATAAAGCATCACTCAGGTGGACATCAAGATTATTTTTTTATTGTGTTAGTGAAAGTATCTGTAATCAGTCTGTGTTACATACTGTACATTCATATATACATTCATACATATCTTAGTAACAATGTACAACAAATATATTGTGCAGTATCAGTGCAGTATGTATATATTGCAAAGTGTTTCTGAAAATTGCAAACTGCATCCCAATCACTACTATCACAGTTGTTTTTTCTCTTTATATTATTTTGCAGCCCTGCTGTTTATCCCTGATCAGAATAAAATGTTGTATCTGATGTTTTATGTTTCTCAAAAAACAAAACAAAAAAAAAAACACAGGAGTTTGTGCATGTCGTTAGCTCCCACTCAACTCGTACAGGAGTGTGAGTTTCAAACTGTGACCTTAGTGTTTGTTAGACCACGCCTTTTCCCAGAAGCTGACCCCGGTTTCCGCCAATCGCAGGCCTCTCTAATATGGCGGGAATTGGAGGAGGAAGAGGAGGGGCTCGACGAGGAAGAGCCCCGTGGACTGTTGCGCTCTGCGCTGGGGAGGCGACAGACGCAGAGAAACGGAACAGATGGCGGGGGGCCGGAGGGTCCGGTGCGATGGCACCGCAGGCAGAAGATGTCGGATTATCCTGACGAAGACTGTGTGCGATACGTGGTGCTGGGCATGCTGACTGCAGTTCTGGCTCTTTTTCTTAATTTAATCTACCCTCTTCTGGCCAAAGTCAAATGGACCTGAGGGTAGAGGCTGGGCCTGGGCCCACCAGTCCTCTATATGAAACAAAAATCAGRTTCTAATAAGGGACGTGTTTAGTTTCAGTAATAATTCTCATTCTTCACAGAAAGGAGAAAATATATTGGTGCTTAATTCTACACAGAACAAGAGTCCACATATGAAAAGCGCTTTAGAACAGTTATGGCACTGCTTCACTTTTAAAAACTATTTCTGTGTAAAAGATTAAGATAAYAAGAGTTATTCAAGATATATATGTATGGTATGCATTATGGTTTCTTTTTAACGTTGAGGTATTGTTGAAATGTTTCTTGGGATTTTGTCTTTTTATTCATTGATTTTTAATCTTGTTAAGCCATACACAAATCATCTGCTTTGAACTTTATTTATTTTTTTGCTAATGACAAGTTTTAAACCTACAGAAAAATTAAGTTTATTAATGGATTCACAGCTACAAAATATTATTTTAATATTTTAATAAGAATAATTAATCTTAATATTTTCAAACTGTCTTAATTTAGAAGTTGATTTTTTTAATCACGTTTGTATGTTTCTTTTAAATCAAAGCTGCTGTGTTTCTTGTTTGTTCTGCAGATTTTCTGTGTGTGTGTGTGTGTGTGTGTGTGTGTGTGTGTGTGTGTGTGTGTGTGTG